CTCAAGCTGTATGTGAAGGATTATCTGAGTATTCGGTGGTGTGCGCTCTAGCAGTGGGCAAAGAGGAAGTTGCTCCCTTTCTCAGGACAGATGTCTGTAAGGTCGACGTCATTTAGGCTTGACTAGTGGCATAAAAATACCCACATAAAACTACAAGTTTCTTCTAATTAGATTTGAGTCCTGCTTTCTTTAAAGCTAAAACCAAAAGGAGGTGATAGTCCGGCTCTACTTATCCGATCCCAGCTGGGGTTCCGTGTCTGGTTTCTAGTGCCAAACTGCAGCAGACACTGACCAATCTGAGCCCTGCCTGAAAGAACCATCAGCTGAAGGTCTCCAAACCCAGGACCCCATGGAATTGGTTAAGACCTGGGCTTTTGAGTTGAGAAAATAAGAGATTTAAAGAGAAAACAGAACAGTTGTCTTTGAATAGCTGAAGACTCACGTTGGGGAAGAGAGAGGTACTAGCTGAAATGTCACTTTAAGTGTGTCATCAACAGGAGTGGAGGTGGCTGTGATCCTCGGGGTAGGCAGAGGAGCACCAGAATGTGTGAGCGAGTAGGCTGGGAAGAGTCACCCTTTCAATCTCCTTCCATCAAGTGTTGTGACACCTTCCCTCCCCCTCCCCACCGGCCCTAGGAACCCCATCTGTTATCTGTTGAGACTCAAGTGAACCTGTTAGTCACTCGGTCATGTCCGACTCTGAGACCCTGTGGACTGTAGCCCTCTAAGGCTCCTCTGTCCATGGAATTCTCCAGGCAGGAATACTGGAGTGGGTAGCCATTCCCTTCTCCAGGGGATCTTCCGGACCCAGGAATCAAACCTGGGGCTCCTGCATTACAGACAGATTCTTGACCATCTGAGCCACCGGGGAAGCCAAGGGTGAGAAAAAAATGACTCCAAGACCAGAACTGGGGCAAATTTGTAGAAGCCAGTCTTAGAGGAAAATTAGAAGAACATTCTTTGATGTAAATTGCTACAGTTCTTTTGGAATCAACTCCTAGTGTAATGAAAATAAAAACAAAAATATACAAATGAGACCTATCCAGGTCATTAAGATCTTTTTTATACAGTTCTTCTATGTATTCCTTCCATCTCTTCTTGATCTCTCTGCTTCTGTTAAGTCTTTACTATTTTTGTCCTTTATTGTGTCCATCTTTGGCAGAAATGTTTCTTTGATATTTCCAATTTTCTTGAAGAGATCTCTAGTCTTACTCTTTCTGTTGTTTTCATTTCTTTGCATTGTTCATTGAAGAAGGCCTTCTTTTCTCTCTCTTGCTGTTCTCTGGAAGTCTGCATTTAATTGGGTGTAACCTTCATTTTCTTCCTTGCTTTTTGCTTCTCTTCTTTCCTCTATTATTTGTAAAGCCTCCTCAAACAACCACTTTGCCTTCTTACATTCCTTTTTCTTTGGGATGGTTTTGTTTGCTGCCTGCTGTACATGATTACGGACCCTTGTCCACAGTTCTTCAGGCATAGTTTACTAGATCGAATTCCTTGAATCTATTTGTGACCTCCACTGTATATTCCTAGGGAAACTGATTTAAGGTGTACGTGATGGCCTAACAGTTTTCTTCGCTTTCTTTAGTTTAAGCTTGAATTTTGCTATGAGGAGCTGATGGTCTGAGCCACAGTCAGCACCAGTATTGTTTTTGCTAACTGTATACAGCTTTCCCATCTTTGGCTACAAAGAATATGTTCAATTTGATTTTGGTATTGGCCACTGGGTGATGTCCAGGTGTAAAGTTGGCTCTTATGTTGTTGAAAATGGGAATTTGCTATGACCAGTGCATTCTCTTGACAGAATTCTGTTAGCCTTTGCCCTGATGCATTTTATACTCCAAGGCCAAACTTGCCTGTTACTTCAGGTATCTCTTGACTTCCTACTTTAGCATTCCAATTCCCTATGATGAGTAGGACATCTTTTTTTGGTGTGAATTCTAGGTCTTTGTAGGTCTTCATAAAACTGATCAGCTGCTTCAGCATCAGTGATTGGTGCATAGCCTTGGATTACTGTGATGTTGAATGGTTTCCCTTGGAAATGAACCGAGATCATTCTTTCATTTTTAAGGTTACACCCACGTGCTGCAGTTCTCCCAGCACCACTTATTGAAGAGACTGTCTCTTCTCCATTATATAGTTTTCCCTTCTTTGTCATAGATTAATTGACATGGGTGCGAGGGTTTATTTCTGGGCTTTCTAATTGCTGTGGCTATTCAGGGTCTTTTGTGTTTCCATAAAACTTAAAAAATTTTTTGTTCCAGTTCTGTGAAAAATGTCATTGGTAATTTGATTGGGATTCCACTGAACCTGTAGGTTGCCTGGAGTATTATAGTCATTTTTGACAATATTGATTCTTCCAATTCAAGAACATGGTATATCTTCCCATCTGTTTGTGTCATCTTATGAGATGGTTGGATGGCATCACCAACTCAATGGACATGAGTTTGAGCAAGCTCAGGGAGATGGTGAAGGACCGGGAAGTCTGGTGTGCTGCAGTCCATGGGGTCGCAAAGAGTTGGACACAACTGAGTGACTGAAAAACAGCAATAGTTTCTTTCATCAGCATCTTAGTTTTCAGAGTACAGGTCTTTTGCCTCCTTAGGTAGGTTTATTCCTAGGTATTTTATTCTTTTTGATGCAATGTAAATGGGATTATTTCCTTAATTTCTCTTTCTGACCTTTCACTGTGAGTGTATAGAAATGGAATATATATTTAAAATTAATTTTTATTGGAGTATAATTGCTTTCCCTGGTGGCTCAGATGGTGAAGAATCTACCTACCATACAGGAGACCCTGGGTTTGATCCCTGGGTCAGAAAGATTCCCTGGAGAAGGAAATAGCAACCCACTCCAGTATTCTTGCCTGGAGAATTCCATGGACAGAGGAGCCTGATGGGCTATAGTCCTTGGGGTTGCAAAGAGTTGGACACGACTGAGCGACTAACACTCAATTACTTTATGATGTTTTGTTGTTTCTTGCTGTATAGCAAAATGAATTAGTCCTATGTATACACATTCCCCCCCCCCCTTTTTTAGATTTTGTTCCCACATAGGTCACCACAGAACACTGAGTGGAGTTCCTATGCTATCGGGTAGAGTGTCATTAGTTATGTATTTTATAAATCAGAGTGTGTATTGTGCATTCCAATCTCTGAATCCATGCCACCCACCCGCCCCTCTTGGTAACCGTAAGTTTGTTCTCTTCATCTGTGACTCTACTTCTACTTTGCAAATAAGTTCATCTCTACTATTTTTCTAGATTCCATATATGTGATATTAGACAGTATTTGTGCTTCATTTTCTGACTTACTTTACTCTGTACGACAGCCCCAGGTCCATCCACATCTCTGTAAATGTATTTCATTCTTTTTAATGGTAAGTAATATTCCATTGTGTATATGCATCACATCTTTATTCATTCCTGTCAATGGACTTTTAGGTTGCTTCCATGTCCTGGCTATTGCAAATAGTGCTGCAATGAACATCACAGTGCCTGCATCCTTTTGGATTGTGGTTTTCTCTGGATATATGCCCAGGAGTGGGATTGCTGGGTTATATGGTAGCTCTATTTTCAGTTTTTTAAGGAACCTCCATACTCTCCAAAGTGATAGTACCAGTTTGCATTTCTACCAACAGCGTAGGAGGGTTCCGTTTTCTCCACACTCTCTCCAGCATTTATTGTTGATGATGATGGCTATTATGACTGATGTGAGGTGATATGTCATTTTTTTTTATTTGAAAATGCAACAGGTTTCTGTATAATAATTTTGCATCTTGCAACCTTACTGAAATTACTGATGAACTCTCATAATTATCTGGTACCATCTTTTGGATTTTCTGTGTATAGTATCATTTTATCTGCTAACTTCTTATTTTCCAATTTGAATTCCTTTTTTTCTTCTCTGATTGCCATGGCTAGGACTTTCAAAACTGTGTTTAATAAAAGAGGTAAGAGTGGACGTTCTTGTCTTATTCCTGATCTTAGAGGAAATTGCTTTCAGCTTTTCACTGTTGAGTATGATGTTAGCTGTGGCTCTGTCATATATGACCTTTATCATATTGATGTAGGTTCCCTTTATGCCCACTTTCTGGAGAGTGTTTATCATAAATGAGCATGGAATTTTGTCAAAAGCTTTTTTGCATCTATTGAGATGATCATATGGTTTTTATTCTTCAATTTGTTAATGTGGTATATCACACTGATTGATTTGTGGATATTGAAGAATCTCTGCATTCCTGGGATAAATCCCACTTGATCATGGTGTATGACCCTTTTAATGTATTGTTGTATTCTGTTTGCTAGTATTTTGTTGAGAATTTCTGCATCTACATTCATCAGTGATATTGGTCTGTAATTTTCTTTTTTGTGGTGTCTTTGCCTGGTTTTGGTATCAGGGTGATGGTGGCCTCCTAGAATGAATTTGGGAGTGTTTCTTCCTCTTCAGTGCTTTGGAATAGTTTCAGAAGGATAGGTGTTACATCTTCTCTAAATGTCCGATAGAATTCACCTGTGAAGCCATCTGGTCCTGGACTTCCGTCTGTTTAAAGTTTTTAAAGCACAGTTTCCACTTCAGTACTTGTGACTGGTCTGTTCATATTTCCTATTTCTTCCCAGTTCAGTCTTGGAAGATTGTACCTTTCTAATAAGAATTTTTCCATTTTGTCTAAGTTGTCTATTTTATTGGCATATAGTCGCTTGTAGTGGTCTCTTACAATCATCTGTATTTACGTGGTGTCAGATTTAACTTTTTTTTTAATTTCTAATTTTATTGACTTGAGCTCTCTTTTTTTCTGATGATCTAACTAAAGGTTTATCAATTTTTTAATCTTTCCAAAGAACCAGCTTTTAGTTTATTGATGTTTTCTATTTTCTTGGTCTTTATCTCATTTATTTCTGCTGTAATCTTTATAGTTTTTTCCTTCTAATTAATTTGGATTTTGTTTTTTCTTTCTCAAGTTGCTTTATATGTAAGGTTAGGTTGTTTGAGGTGCTTTTCCTGGTTTCCTGAGGTAAGATTGTGTGGCTATAAACTTCCTCTTAGAACTGCTTTTGCTGCCCAAGAGCTTACACTAATGGGTATTCCCTGGGGCCTCCACCAGTGTCTTTGCCGCCACAGTGAGCCACAGCTGACCCCCAGGCCCTGAGGAGACCCTCCAAGACCCACAAGTAGGTCTGGCCTAGGCTCTTATGGACTCACTGCTTTGCCCGGGGTCCCAGTTCATGTGAAACCTGTGTGCACCCTTCAAGAGTGGAGTCTCTGTTTCCCCCAGACCTCTGGAGATCCTGCACTCAAGCCCCACCCGCCTTCAGAGACAAATGCCCTGGGGGCTCCTTCTCCTGCTGCCAGAACCCCAGGCAGGGAGCCTGACGTGGGGCTTAGAACTCTCACTCCTGTGGGGGAACCTCTACGATATTTATTTTCCAGTCTGTGGGTCACCCACTGCGATTTGATTTTGTTGCTAATGTGCCCCTCATACTATCTCATAGTGGCTTCTTCTTTATCTCTTGGTGTAGAATATCTTTCTTGGTAGATTCAAGTCTTTTTTGTCAATGGTTCTTGTCCAGCAGTTAGTTGTGATTTTGGTGTTTTCATGAGAGAAGGTGAGCAAGTCCTTCTACTCTGCCATCTTGTCTCTCATTCCATTGGATTTTTTTTTTTTTTTTAAATTAAACTGGAGGGTCTTGTTGCAGTTTCCGTAAATTTCATTAAACACCCACTCTCACCCCCAGGGTACAAGGATGTCAAAGTTGGTGAGAACTGCCAATTCTATACCCATGTAATGTAATCCTGGAATGACATGTTTGGTTACCTGAAAGTATCCATTTATAACCTGAATAAAACAAGGTGGCCTGATAGGTCTTTAGCACTATCTCCATGATTATAAACTTGGCCATAGTGAGAAGAAGGTGATTTTATTATCTCATATTTAGTATAAAGTATGCAACAATTTTCCTTTCCTTTCTCCAAATTATAATCCACAAATCCTTTATTAGCCATCAGTGAAGAGCCAAAGTATCAGCTGTCTATCTACACTGGGAAGAAACTCATAGCTTGAGTTTATTCTTCAAAATATGGTATGTGTAGGATCCCCTCCAGCTCTCCAACACAGAGATGGGCTCTTCAGGTATTACCCCCCAAACACTAGCAACTTCTTCTGAAGTACTGAAACTCAACCCTCTCCTCACCCAATGGCCTTGGAAGTAGAAACAGGAACTGGTGCTTTGGTGGGAGAACCCAGCCATATCTCAGGGAAGCATGGACAGACAGAATGACATTTGAGCTCTTGTCATCAACTGAACAGCTCTTGTATGCACATGTATGTAATCATCTGTCCACACAGATGCCAGGGTTAATTCCCTAAGCATGTGATGCTCTGAGAAACCACGATATGTTTTAAATTCTGAGACCTGAAGGAAAAGGTGTGATAATGGTTGGTATGAAAGGAGTATTTAGGTGTTTCTGTGGCCTAAATCCTTAGCACTGTTTATCCAAATATGTTGGTTTGTGTGTGTGTGAGAGTTTACATGTTTGTTTCCACTTAAACTCAGGTACTCTTTTGACTGAAACTGTACACTGCACACAGAAGAACACAGCAAAACACAGTCTGTTTGCTAAAAACAAAGCCCGTTCTGAGGGTGGACCCCACTGTGGGGCAGCCAGATTACCCCAGGGGTGCCCCCTGAAGTAGATCACTGCATGATGGGCTAAGTTTTGGAGGGTGACTTTTTAGAGTGCTGTGCCGAGGGTGTCAGGGGTGAGACGTTCCTCTTCTGAGGTCTCACTTCTAGGCTCATTTCCATCCCTCCCTTTTTTTCCTGAAAGAAACACATACACACCCTCAGCCTACTGTTTAAAAGGCATATTTAGCCAATAGAATTTCACAAGATCTGGAATGTGCTGTGAGGGGATTTAAGGGCAGAGCGGAAACAAGGCATTTTCAGGACCGTCAGACTGGCTAAGATGACCACACTAAATAGTCCCCGAGGTCTGATTGTTCCATGGGCTCCTGCCCTTCATGGGTGATGTTCTTTTTTAACCACAACTGCCTCACCGTTCAGCCCCAGGGGCCCACAGAAGCATGATCTTTTCCTCTCTGGGGTCCAAGGGCAGCCCCATTCTGATTTTAAGTTGAAATTCTTTGCCAAAATACCCCTGAGGAAAAAACTGATTCCTCTCCAGGCTATCATAGGTGGCAAGTCCCTTATTTCCTTTTCCTGTTCCAAGCCCCTCTTCCCCAGCCCTGCTGCCTTTTGTTCCTATTTCACATTGTTCTTCTTTTGGCCAGTGTTCTCTCCGTTACCATGAGAGCACACCCACACATTCTGCCTCACGCCCTTCACTTTAGTCCAAACTCTGCATTGCCACACAAAAACAAGCCCCCCAAGGGCCCAACACCAACAACCCCCGGGGCCCGGCATCCCCTCCTTCTCTGGGTTCACCAGATTGCCTTCTCAAAGACCCTGGACTTTCTCAGGAGCCACCGTGTACTCTGGAATTTTTCTTCAAGCATCAGGCTCTATGTTTTCATTTTATCATATTCATATCTGCTTCGTATCAGGACACTTCACAAGGCGTGACTGCTTGGGAATAGATTGGAGGAGATTTCTCTTTGAACAACCGTAGCAGGTGTCCAAAAGCTCACCATTTTTTTAATGAGGTGAACAAGTAGAGACACTAGTGCTATAAGAATCAGGACACAGTCTATGTATGGAGTCCAATCACACTGCTGTGGAGTTTTTATAGCTGGGAGGACGCTTCCTACCTGTTTCCTACCTTCATACTTAAAAAAAAAAAAATTAGACTCAGGGGTGAGATTACTCTTTCCCAAGAACCAGGGACTAAAGGGCCTTAATTGAGAAGCCTTGAGGCAAAAAGTGGACTTGGAATGACCTTGGAGGGTACGTACAATTTGGAAGAAAACTAGCACATTGTGCCGATCATGTAGAATGTTTGTTGAATTCTGAGTGCTGGCAGCACATGGAGTCCCAGGCTTCCTGCCAGCCTTCCAATGCCCTATCAAAGTGTTCCACACCAACCAGCAGATAGATTACTGATAAGATGAGAACAGACCCAAGAAAAACCTGGCACTGATTCTGGATGTCTCCAGGGATGGATTTAGGATTATGGCCTCTCATTTCAAAACTCTTAGTATAGCAGCAATATTTTAACACAGTTCCCGGCCTGATTGATTTGTTTTCCAAAGACCTAAGAGAAGCTGGAGGCATCAGTGATTTATGTGACTGACAGTTCTACATTGCACTTTACAGTGGCTGTTGGTAATTGTAAATCGAAATGGTTACCTTATTATCTAATGTATCCCATAGCCCTGGGGCTGCAACTGAGTTCACTCTGGAGAATGTGGGGAGGGTAATATGGTACTAGCTTCATTCAAAAGGGAGCACTGCCTTGGGACGAGGCCACCGGTTCCTTTCTCCCTGTGTGGAAGAAAAGGGTGAGCTGCCAGAGACCCCCTAGCCATAGCCAGAGGCTGCACCCTTATCAGGCCTTTCCCTTCCATCACTTTTCTTGATACCATTTTTTTCTTCACAAAAATACAGTAGCCGGCATGGATTGCATCATGCCTCCCAGTTCCCCTTGGCCCATTCATGTGTTCAAGCTTTAACCCCCGGTGCTATAGGGGTGAGGGAGTTAAAGTAAGGTCATTAGACTGGCCCTGATTAGATTTAACTGAGATGCTTATAAAACGGGGAAATTTGAACACAGAGACAGGCACACAGAAGGAAGACCAGGGAGAAAATGGCTATCCACAAGCCAAGAAGGGAAGCCAGAAAGAGATCCTTCTCTTATAGCCCTCAGAAGGGATGAACCCTGCCAGCACCTTGACCTTGAACTTCTAGCCTCTAGAACTGTGAAACAATACATACAGTTCTGTTGTTTATGCCACCCAGTTTATAGTACTTCGTTACTATATAGTACTTCATTATGGCAGCCCTAGGAAACAAATACAGTACTATTACTGGGATTTAGAAAGTTGTTTTTTTTTTTTTTTTCCAATAAGGACCTATATTTGAATTTTATTATGGTGGTGCTAGTGGTAAAGAACCTGCCTGCCAATGCAGGAGACTCGTAAGAGACACGAGTTCAATCCCTGCATTGGGAAGATCCCCTGGAGGAGGAAATGGCAACCCACTCCAATATTCTTGCCAGGAGAATTCCATGGACAGAGGAGCCTGGTGGGTTACAAAGAGTCGGACACGATTAAAGTGACTTAGCACACACACATACTTAACTGTATATTCTATTGGGAGCCACCACAAAAGCTATAGTCCCCTGCGGGTAGAGTGGCTATAAAGAACAGCCTGTCAAAGACTGAAAATGAAAAAAAGGCTTTTCCACCCTATGTTTGTTGATACTTCATTAGAGATGCTGCCTAAGCAGAAAAATAAGGATTTTCTGTGTTTAACCCCCAAACTGCTGTAGGGCTTACAAACAGGCTCAAGTGTATCTGACCTTGATGGATGAGAAGGGCATGCTAGGATCCTAGGGAAAATTAGCACCTTCATTTTTGTGTCTGATTGTAATTGCAGCCTCCACTCCAACTTCAAAGGTGGAAGATGTCTGTCAGAGGGAACTGCCTTTGCAGTTTGAAGGATGTACCCCTGCCAAACGTGGGTTCACAGCTACTGAGAGGCTACCATAAAGTAAGTACACACGGCGTGGAGACATTCCCCCGAGCCTCACACTCAGTAGATGTCAATTCCAGGCCCTCAATCACTCCTAATCCGGGTTGGTCAGAGGCAGCTTCCTACCACTAGGTGGCGGTAGCGTCTGCTGCAGGGACCCAGTCCCGTATCCAGTTCACAAATGAAGATGGCAAGGTTCACCTTAGAATTAAGTTCATTTTTCCTAACTGGCCAACCGTCTCAGGGGCTCTTAGGGGAGAGCTTTCCCTTCCGTTTAGCACAGAAGGATTACAGAATGTTCAGAGCGGAAGGACCCTGTCCACAAGCTGACTGGGTCTCAGCCCTAGATGTGTGGGGAGCTTTTAAAAATACCAGTGCCCTGCTCCACTCTCAGGGATTTTATTTCTAATATATAATATATCCCCAACATGTGACTGTATCTGTTAATACATTCATTTACCTGATACCTTTTTGCGAGGAGTCCACAATAATTTGGAAACATATATCCAACCTCACTTCCCTGGTGGCTCAGATGGTTAGAGAATTTGCCTGCAGGGCAGGAAACCTGGGTTTGATTGCTGAGTTGGGAAGATCTCCTGGACAAGGGAATGGCAGCCCACTCCAGTGTTCTTGCCTGGAGAATTCCATGGACAGAGGAGCCTGGTGGGCTCCATTCCATGGGATCGTGGAGAGTCAGACATGACTGAGCGACTGATAAACACACATGCAACCTCACAGCGACTTAGCCAGGGAGGTGGGAAGTGAAGGGACAAATGGGGCCAAACACAGTAAAGAGCGTGTGTGTGCCCTTTTACATGTCTTCAGTAAGGTGGTATAGTTGATTGACTAGTGTCCCCTGAAAATTCACATCCACCTGGAACCTTGAAATGTGATCGTATTCAGAAATACAGTCTTAGCAGATATAATTAGTTAAGATGAGGTCATCTGGTATTGGGGTGGGCCCTAAATCCAGTGACAGGTGTTATCACAGGAAGAGGGGACTCACAGAGAGTCACAGGGTGAGGACTGGGGCAGAGATTGGAGTACTGCAAGTGGAACAGGGCTCAGGACCGCATGACCACCAGAAGCCGGAAGAAGCCAGGAAGGGTCCTTTCCTAGAGCCTGCACAGGTAGCAGGGCCCTGCCAACACCTTGACCTTGGACTTCTTTGGCCTCCAGACTTGGAGACACATTTCTGTTGTTTAAGCCTCCTGGTCTGCGGCACTTTGTCTTCGCAGCCCTGGGAGCATAGGCACAGGCAAAGGGAAGCTGGGCCCTGGACTCCCTGCTCTCGAGCCATCCTCATACCATCTGTCACACTCAAAGGGGCCTTATTTTCTACTGAGTGGACAGTACGGAGCAGTCCTCCCTTCTACTCACTTTTCCCATTCCTCCTCAGGTCCCAGGAGTGTGAATGGTGTTAAGGACAGCCCAGCTCATGAGGTCCACAGGTATGATTTAAACTTTCTAAAATTTTCATTTCCCTAAATTCTCCTTTTGAATTTGCTTTTTTTTGTTTCCAGAAGGCTCAGAGCCTGGTAGACCCCAGGTTCATACCATTAGAATCTGTTCTTCCACAAACACATTCTTCCCAAGAGTTGAAAAGGCTTATTAGGAGACTAGCAAACACTGGTTTCCTATGATGAGGGAGAAGACAGAAATAGAAATCAGAGAAGCGACAACAAGGTTCTGGAGGGCGTAGGGAAGGAGAGAGAGCCTGGTGTTGAGAGGTAAAGACAGAGAATAACAGGGGCCCCCCATGAGGGCCTGAATGAATAGGAACCTTAGGCGAGCTTGAGAGCAAAACCAGCCTTGAGAAAGTGGAAATCAAGCTGGCCTGTGAGGCCACGATTCACTATAAAGCTAGGACAAAAAGAAAAAAACTACCATAGCTCTGCAATCTGTCATCCAATTAACTGTGGGCCTAATTTAACTGAAAAGCCAGTATGCCTTTATAACTCCAATTCCCTAAGCTAATCCTTAAACAGCAGTTTAATGCTGTTTGTTAAAAAAAAAGAAAAATCCTACAGAGACCTAATCCAGACTGACGGGTTGCCTCATTAATTTGAAGCTGGCGTCACTCTTGTTTCAGGATGAATCCTTTCTAGGTGCCATGGTGTGCAGGCAGTCAGATCCATTTTGTCAGCTTTTCCACCTGTCTCAGAAATATTATTTGGTCACTGACTTAAAAGGATCAAACCCTCTTTGAAAAGGGCCCTATTTTTTGCCCTTTCTGAAATCTCTTTCTTTCTCAACCATGTGGTCAGACGGTGGAAGAAACTGGCATTCTGGTGAAACATCTTATAAACCAAAGACAGCCACTGCCTCTCTCTTCCTATTTCGATCACACTAAGACCTACCAGAAACGTGAGTGGCATCTCTGGTTGGTGGGGATGCTAGCTCTCTGCTGAGAAGCAACAGAATTGCCACCGTTTCAAATAAACGTCCTTTGCAGCCAGTGCTGGCTCAGGCAAGGAATGATTCCAGAGACCCGACACTTCACATACAAGTCATTAATGTCAACGTCAGGAAAGTCAAGTCCAGAAATGCAGTGTCTCTTGCCAAAAAGTTCCACTGAGCTTTCTAGGGCCCCCATGACCTAATTTAAAGTGTCTTTTTTTCTCAAGCTTTTTTTCATAGATAATAGTATGATAAGCTGTTAATTCAATCATTTTTGCTTCTCTGGCACCCTTCGTCCCTTGATCAAAGAGTATTTTTAACCACCCTGAAGACACATTAAATAACCAAGCTGTCTGACAGCTGCGTATCACAACACTAATCACCAATACTGGCATGGCTAAAAAAAATGGCTTAACTGTTTCTTTGCCCACAGCTGTTTTTGCATTTCAAACAGCCATCATGCAGAAACACACATCTGGATGATAGGATATATTATTGGGAGGCTGTTAATACATAAAGTGTAAAGGGAAAAGGGCATGATTTCAAGACTACATAACAGAAGAAAAGTGTTATTGTGTGGCAGCCCTCTTTCACTTCTCTATTATTTAATAAAGCAGTTCCATTATCTCCTACCTACCCACTGACTCCCAGTCAGTCATGAAAAAGGACACTCTCACCCACAACATTTTTCAGCTGCACTGCATTCATTGGTTGTTCCTCTCTGTACTAACACCAAATGACGGCTACCGTGATCAGAGCCTTAGGATATCAGATAATTCGAAAAGCGGAATCGGGCCCTATCATGAAGACGGCATGATTGGCCATTTAAAATCAGGAGCCTGCTCATCTCTGCTGTATTCTTTTAAATACTCCAATCTGTTTCATCAACTCAAAATTCAGTGGAAAACATCTCTCTGGTCACTGGACAGGATCCTAAAAAACACGATGATGTGAGTATTTGAAAATCAAACAGAAAGCCTGGAACTACAGACTAAGGGTGAACAATGGCCTTTTTCCAAGAAATAACTGGGAACATGGAACCTGAACCAAATGCTTGAATAAGGATAAGGGAACAATTAGCAGCCATTTAAGGTAACCTATCCTTTTAATTTTATGTCAAACTACTGGAAAAAGCAGAATAGCTAGCCTAATTTACATGCACTTAATGGGGTGGATCTTTTTATTTTTAATTGGAGGATAGAGCCTCCCTCCAGCTCTGCCCCCATCCCACCTGAGTCGGTTGTCCCGGAGCACTGATCTCAGCTCCCTGTGCCAGCCGCTTCCCGCGAGCCTTCCACGCAGGCGGTATATGTGTCAGCGCTACTCTCTCAACTCATCCCACCCTCTCTCCCCCCCATCTCCACAAGTCTGTTCTGAGGGCATCTCTCTTCCTGCCCTGCAAACAGGTTCATTAGTATCATTTTTCTAGATTCCGTATATATGTGTTAATATACATTTTTCTCTTTCTGACTTAACTTCACTCAGTATAACAGGCTGTACATTCATCCACCTCACCACAACTCACTCAAATTCATTCCTTTTAATGATTAATATTCCACTGTATATATATGTACCACAACTTCTTTATCCATTCATTTATTGATAGACATCTAGGTTGCTTCCATGTCCTAACTATTTCAAATAGTGCTGCAATGAACACTGGCTTACATGTGTCTTTGACTTATGGTTTTCTCAGGGTATATGCTCAGTATTGGTATTGCAGGGTCATAGGGTAGTTTTATTCCTAGTTTTTTAAGGAACCTCCATAGTATTCTCCATCGTGGCTGTATCAATTTACATTGCCACCAACAGTACAAGAGAGGGTTCCCTTTTCTCCACACCCTCTCCAGCATTTATTGTTTGTATATTTTTTTGATGATGGCCATTCTGACCAATATGAGGTAATACCTCATTGTAGTTTTGATTGGCATTTCTCTAATAATGAGTGATATTTATGAATGCATCTTTTAAAAGGAAATTTCTTATGTTATCTGGTGTGCATTAATCATCTGAGTTTAAATTATATTTTAAAGAGATATAAACAGTATTGTCCATTAGTATACAAATAGTAGTACTAGCAATTGGTAGCACAACCAACAATTCTTAAAGGAGGAGAAACATTATAAGAAAAATTTATGTTTGGTTACAACACCTAGTATAATATCGCCACAGAAACCTTCAAATGCCCTTTCAGTAAAGATGGCTATGATTAAGAGGATTCTAATCAGGTCAAGAGGAAGGAGAGACAAAGATGTTGGCAAGATTGGTTTTCCTTTCTGATGCTTTCCTTTGCCATCCATTCTTTCATAGTGTGGAGGCAAATGAAAATACTGAAGGGAGGGCAGTGAGTTGGGGCCTCTCAGATTGGAAGAGCATGCAAAATAATCTCCAGAGTGAAAACACACCCTGGAAATATAAGTTAATGGTGCAGAATTTTCTGAATGTGTTGCCACAAAAGTTGAAATACTGTGAAGGTTGATGGTGGAATGTGTGATGAAACTGTAATTTGAAAAAACAGCTTATAGCTATTCTGAGGGAAAAAAAACCCACCTTGTTTCTGGAATTCCTTGTAATTTAGAATAGGCCATGACCAGTCAGAGCTGGAAGGGGTCTTAAGAGGTGATTTAATGATCCATTTCATAGATGAGAAAACTAAGGACCAAAAAGGGTGATTAATTCACTGTCAGTGATTAATGAGAGGCAGAGGCAAGCATAGAATCTCAGTGCCTCTGTTTATAATAGCCAGGACATGGAAGCAACCCAGATGCCCATCAGCAGACGAGTGGATGAGGAAGCTGTGGTACATATACACCATGGAATATTACTNGGATCCACTTCCTCACGTTTGTCAGGAGCATGATTCCAATGAGATGGATACATCAGTCAGGAACAACTATAGTGATAGGGGGCTTCATGGGTAATATTACAGTGATGGGGGGCTTAGGTAGGAGCTGGATTTGAATTTTGGCTCTGCCACTTAAAAGGTCTGAGAACTGATCAGTTAAGCCCCGGGTTCCTCATCTGCATGAATGGAGGTAAGTTGAACACCTACTTTCATGAAAGGGTTAGTGTAAGAAAAGCATTGGTATAGTGCCTGCGTGTGGTATGTACCCAGTTTGGCCATTATCATTGTTGTTCAAAATACTATGCTATGAAAACTTACCGAATGGGAGAAGGCATCTGCAAATGATTGTCTGATAATGGGTTAATATCCAAAATATATGAAGAAGTCATACAACTCAGCAATTTATATATATATATATGAAACCTGATTATTCATATATATATGTGTGTATACATATAAATAATCTGATTTTTATATAGATTATGTTGTTTATATATATAAACAACCAGATTAGAAAATAGGCAGAGGACCTGAATAAGCATTTTTCCAAAGACCTACAGATGGCCAATAGACATATGAAAAGAGACTCAACATCATTAATCATCAGGAGAATGCAAATCAAAACCACACACCTGTCAGAATGGCTGTTACCAAGCAACCTTGTGAGGTAAGTATTAATTCCCTCTTTAGGTCAATAAGGACACAAAGAGTCACCGAGCTGCACCGAGTCCTTGCTCAAAACCTGCCAACCCCTACCCTCAGTAGGAGTTAAGTCACAGGATCCAGAGATAAGAAAGGAAATTATAAGGCGAGAAGCAAAAACAAAAAACCAAAAACCCAGATGGAACCAGCAGGGACCAAGATGGTGATAAATCTGACCTCAAACAGACCCTGGATCTCATTACACACTGATTTTACTACATTCGTGAATTGAATGACATGCCCAGTGGTGGTCACAACTAGAAATTAAGGACCAAAAAAGGATAAAAAGAGTGGCACCCTACTGCCTCAAAAATCCCTGTCCCTTCCCACACAGACTACTGCACATGCCTCCACTCAGCATTCGCCTCATTCCTCCTCCTCTTGTCTTTACTCTTAAAATCAAACCTTCTCACCACACGGGTGAGAAGCTGACCTGAGAACTATGGTCTCACCTCTCCAGTCTTCGGGCATTGAACAAAGCTTGCATTGCACTGATCTCAGCTTCATTCTTTGGCTACAGGAACCCACACGCCCCCACACGAGTGGATACAGTTGAGTCAAAATAGATGTTAGTTTGTGAAGAATGACACCAAGGTGCCCCAGTTGGCTTCAACAATAGGGAATTTGTTCTCATTACATATGGTGATTTAGGATTTTATCCTCCATGTTCTTCTGTGTGCTGTTCTATAAGAACTGTGGGATGACATAATTTGTAAAAAGATGCACTGTTTGTAGAAGTGATGGGGTGCCATTGTTTCTTTTAAAACTCAAATATACCTTACCTTACAGAACTTGTTCTTGTATGAGCTATGGCCTGGATCCATTTGTAAACGAGGAGGAAAAGAAGGGGAAGAAACCAGATATTACTTACTAAATAGACATCAAGCACGGAGGCATTATCATCTTGCATTTCCAGAGCATTTGGCTCAGAAGTCAAGTAGATGGTCCCCTCTTCCAAGGTAAAGGTGGAACTGGAAGGTAACCCTTTACTGGAAAAATAAGGAAGAATGATGAGCATGTAGCCTTCAGAACAAAATCCAAGGACCCCTTCCAAGTGGTGGCTGAGGTGGGTAAGCTTTGGGGGAAAGAAAAATGTGGGCTGTTTGAAGGAGATGTGGTCATACCTAGAGGTATGTGCACTTATGTCCGAAGAATCTGGCTTTACTGGCAGTGCATTTTCTCTGTCCACTTTAGTGCATGAGACACTTTGTATTTCTGAGAGGTGATCTGTGGGGCCCACACCTTGTGATGGTAGACTTCTGGCAATCTAGAGGCCCATCTCCAGCTCTGAATAGTTAGCTCTCACTGCTTAAATCCTTTTCTCAACAGTGTTGATGTTTTTCTAGTTTATAGAAGATAACCTGATCCCTCATTAGCATTGACAATTTCTTTTTTCAAACCTAAAAGTGCAGCAGAATCCCCTTGGGGGCTTGTGAAAGCCCAAACTCCTGGGCCCCACCCGCAGAGTTTGATTGGGTCTGACATGGATCCCATGGTAACAAGCTCCCAGGTGATGCTCTTGCTGCTGATCCAAGGCCAACAGTTAGAGTAACAATGAATTACAAAAATACAGAGCTCTGTATCATGTGCTTTGTGAGGACAGTTGAGATGGACCCTTCCTAACAAGGTTAACAACAAAAGCCAAAGGAATTCAGGTATACAGTACTGGAGAGTCCTTTATGGAAGGGAAGCCACCTTGTTTTGTCATAATATGATAACTAGAGTTAAGTAACTGGTCCATTATTCTTGCCTGGAGAATTCCATGAACAGAGGAGCCTGGTGGGCTACACAGTTCATGGGGTCCTGAAGAGTTGGAAAAAGACTAAGCGTGCACACACACACACACACACACACACACACACACATACACATTCAGTTCAGTTCAGTTCAGTCATTCAGTCGTGTCTGACTCTTTGTGACCCCAATGGCCTCAGCTAACATTGATAGTGTTTAAATTGGGAATTTAGTGGCTCAGGAATGTACAGTCTTCCCCCCTACTGAAATAAAAGTTAGTTATATTTTTAACCTGTGGAAATTTTCCATGTGATGGTTTTTAGGAACAAAATATCTACACACAATGGTGGAAGAGTCTGATGTTGGTGTTAGAAGAGGTGGGCTAGGGGGCTGGCACTTTGCCTGGGCACCAGGGCTGAGAGCAGGAGAGAAGTCTGGCGGCCTCACTCACCTCCCCATCACCAGGACCCATCACCTCTGGGGGCTGAGCTCTTAGCTCACTCCATTGAAAACTCCCACCTAAAGTCACCCCCTGGGCTTCTTGTCTGAGCATCCCAGATAGATAGGTAACTTATTGAGGACATTATACTCCTCAGTCCTCTGTCTTCTGGGCACGGCACATAATTCTACTTCTGTACATACCTACCTGTTAATTGAAGATACATGAAATAGAAGTTCTGAGCTCTTCAATATTAAAAAAAAATTTCTCAAAAGAATTATATGGATCTTATGAAACCAGGTTCATTTGTAGAACACATAACACAAAATTGTGAGACTCCAAACTAGTAGTAAGAGGAAATGGAAGCAGGGAATCTCCCATAGGTTTTCCATTTGATGATACTTGAGAATTTGGAAACTCAGAGATGAAGCCACTTCACTTTGGCTTGATATAATTTCTCTTTAAATTCTAGACACAGAAAAGAAAAGTCCTCTTGCTTTTCAAAAACCCAAGATGGGTTATACGAGGTGGGAAACTGTGTTTTGATTGATTTTCAAAGATCAAGGTGAATGTGGCCTCTTTCCACCGAGCTGTTGACTTTATATTGTAAACCTTTACAGATTTCTTGGGTTAAATAAACCATCAGGTTTCAAGGGATTCTGTTTGGAGAGGCACTGCATGGTAATGAATGTTGCTCAGGTTATTTTCTGGATCAAGAGCAAGGATGCTGTGATGGGCTTTAATTGGCTTTTGCCTCTTTACTGCTAAGATGCCACTCACTAATCCCATGGGTTGGGAGCAGTCCTGCCTGGTTAAGCCTTATGAGAAAGATGAATGCTTTATCTACTTAAACATCAAAGCAAGAAACAAAGTGGTTGGAAAATACGTATAGTTCACATTTAATACAATTAAAAAAATCTCTCATGGCTTCTGGGTTATTTTGTAACCATAATTTACTTGATGAGGTTCAAATCTAAGCTTCTCTCATCTTGTCTGAGTTTTTGGTCATGATTTTAAATTAATTCCATCCTAAGATTAAGGGTATAACCAAGATATTCTACAAGTGCTTTTTAAAATTTAATTTTTTAATAGCATACCACCTGTAGTATAAAATATAGCAAAAAGTAATCCTTTCTTTTTTTTTTTTGGTCCTTCTGTGATTCAGAGTTTACCTCCCTAGCAGTAAATCCTTTTTGTAAGTATTTTTCAACCTAATATTTGTTTTACTTTTGAAAACTATGAATGAGTCACTAGGATGGTTAAAACCAAATACAAATAGAAAAACAATTAATTTTCTTTGGGGTTTAACAGGTACATTTATCAGCTTATGGTCAGTTGCTCAGTTGTGTCTGACTCGTTGCAACCCCATGGACTATAGCCCACCAGATTCCTCTAAGGGATTTTCCCAGCAAGAATACTGGAGTGGGTTGCCATTTCCTTCTCCAGCTATTTTAGCTAAAATATAATAGATTACAGAGAAAATACTATATTTCCTTAACACCATATGGTCAAATTTAATAACATCCATCAAGCATATTAAAAGAAAAAACCTTCTGTTAATCTATCCTGTTTTGCACATATTGGAATAATATCCTATCTTAGTAAGAAGAATATTCTGAGCATCCTTAAATTTGGGGGACAAAAATGAGATATCCAGAGTATATAAGAACCTCTTGTAGTACAACAGTAAAAAGACAACTCAATTAAAAATGGTCATAGGATATGAATAGACATTTCTCCAAAGAAGATATACAAATGGCCAATAAATGCATGTCAAGATGCTCAACATCATTAGTTATTAAGAAAATGCAAATCAAAAGCACAATGAGATACCACCACTTCACAGCCACTAGGATGGCTATAATAAAAAAGACAGATGATATGGAAAAACTGGAGCCCTCCTATATTGCGTATAGGCATGTAAAATGATGAAGCTAGTTTGGAAAACATTTTGGTGAATCTTCAAAACCATACAACTCAGCAATTCCACTCCTTGGTATATATGTAAGGAAAATGGAAAAATATATGCCTACACAAAGGATTGCACATGAACATTCACAGCAGCATTACTCATAATAGCCACAGAGTGGAAGTAACCCAAAAGTCCACCAGTTGATGAATGGATAAGTAATTCATACAATGGAATATTACTTGGCAATAAATATAATAAAGTATTATATATGCAGCAATATAGGTGGACCTTGGTAAGTGAAAAAAAGCTGGTCATAAAGGAATTCATATAGAATGGTGGAGAGATGCTATATTGCAGGCTGGGGAAGCTGGGGACCATCTGCAGTGTCCCAGGGCTAGCGCTGATGATGCAGGAGCCAGAGGTAAGGGGACATCTATCCTGGAGGATGGTCTGCCTAGAAGATGCAAACTGCTGGCCCACAGACCCAGGCTGGCTGGGAGAAGTATGTTTTGGGCCCAAAGAGATTTTTAAAGAAAATTTGAATGATTGCTAAATTAAGTAACAGGAAATTCCTACAAAATCCAGTCTTCCACAGATTCTAATGAGAAACGAGATGGGCAGGCAACTCCAAGCCCACATTTGTGAGTAGCGGTGAGGCTGAGGCATGTCCCCTCCATTGTTCCAGGGTCCCTACTGCTGTCTTCTGCGTCACACACCTGGCCTGTTCTCGCCATTGGCATCATCTCTGCCTGGTCCCTCTGGATGTACGCCAGCCCAGCATCCTTACTGCACTGTATGAAGAAGCTGAGGCTTGAGAGGCATAGTAACTTGCTCAAGGTCACACTGGAGTTGAATAGAGCTAGAATATGAACTTTGTTTTCCAATTAAACACCTTTTCTATGGTCACCCCTGATGAAATTTTAGAAATTTGCCACTGTAGAAATTGAGGGAGCTGAGACCAATGTGCCCAGGAGCTTGAGGATCATCCCATAAACCAGCAAAAACATATGCAGATGTGATGCTTGACGTGAGCTGTGGAGATCTTTTGTTTGAGAAGAGTTATGATGGCCAGAGAGGTTTGAGGAAAAGTAAGTAGGCAAAATATGCTGTACAAAGCAACATATTTCTCTTTCTCAAAAAAGTTAAAAGAGAATTACCACACAAGCCAGTTATCTTGTTTCTGGATATATACCCCCAAAGAACAGAAGACAGGGCCTCAGATATTTGTTCCCTCAGTGTTATGGGCTGAACTGTGGGCTTCCCCCCAGCCTCCATTATATCTTTAAGTCCTAACTCCCAGTACTTCAGTATGTGTCGGTATTTGGAGATAGGCTCTTTAAAGAGGTATAATTAAGGTTAAGTGAAATAATTGGGATGGCTCTAATTCAATATGATTTGTGTCCTTACGAGAAGAGGAGGAGAGGATTAGGACTTGGACACACAGAGGAAAGACCATGTGAAGAGGAAGAAGACGGCCATCTACATGCCAAGGAGAGCCGCCTCAGAGAAAACCAACCTTGCTGACACCTTGATCTTGGACCTCCAGCCTCCAGAACTGTGAGAAAATGCATTTCTGTTGTTTAAGCCACTTGGTCTGTGGTACTCTGTTATGGCAGCCCTAAAATTAACACATCAGTTTCACAGCAGCCTTATTCACAGTGACCAACAGGTGGTATAATTTCACCGACTTCCTCACGTAAGTAGTCAAATTCAAAGAAAGGTGGTTGCCAGGGGCTGAGGGGAGGTGAAATGGGGAGTTTAGTGGCCTAAGAGTTTCAGTTTTTCAAGATGAAAAAGTTCTGGAGACTGGTTGCACAACAATGTGAATGTACTTTGAATGTTGAACTGTTCACCTAAAAATGGTCAAGATGGTAAATTTTGTGTTATGTTACCACAATTTTTAA